CCACACCTCCAACCCAGAATATTCCATTGGTCCAGGGCTTCCCACACCTCAAATCCCCAATTCCCACTGCACCAATGGGGTTGTTGCCTTTTTCTCTCCACTTTTAATGGATAAAAAAGAAAATAGGGAGAAAACGCTGAAAACACGAGGAGAAGGAGGAGTCTGATAAGAAAAAAGTGAGGAATTCTGGAATATTCCACACCCCAGATCCCCAAATCCCAGCGTGTCGCACCAATGGGATTTTTGCCTTTTCATCCCCATTTTTAATGGAAAAAAAAACCAGAAAGGAAATAGGGAGAAAAGAAATTAAAATAGGGAGAAAACACGGAAAAACAAAAAAGAGAAGAAGGAACTGACAGAGCAAAGTGAGGAATTCTGGAATATTCCACACCCCAAATCCCAGCATGTCGCACCAATGGGATTTTTGCCTTTTCATCACCATTTTTAATGGATACAAAAGAAAAAACCAGGAAAAGGGGGGAAAACCCCATGGAAAACACAAGGAGAACCCATCAGGAACCCCCCCCCAAAAAACCTCCAAACCCCAGAATCCCCCAACCCTCCCCAAATCCACGAGCGAAACTCCGCCGAAGAACCGGGGACCGGGAGGAAAAATCAAAAACCAGGAAAAATCCCCAAAAAATAAAATCCCAAAAAAAAACCCAAACTGGGGGACAGGGCTGGGGGGAGGTGAATCCCTCAAGGAGCCGTGTGGAGCATCAAGTTCCTGAGGAGTTTCTGGCGACCCAACTCGTAATCCTCCTCGTCCACGTTGACCAGCAGCTTGATGGCCTCGTGGCCCACGGCCTGTTTGAGCGAGTCCGTGATGAAAACGCCCTTGAGGGCCTCCAGGAGGGAGCCGTTGATGTAATCCCGCCAGAAGGCGTCGAGGTAGGTGAGCTCCGAGAATTTGATGTCGCAGATGATGGAGCCCAAATCGCGCGATTTCAGGATGGTGTTGGCCTGGTTGAAGCGCTCGAATTGGCGCTCCAGAGGGTCCTGCTTGTTGGAGAAGACGTTGCCGTGCAGGGCGGAGTCGTGCTGGCAGTACTCGGCACGCACGCGCAGGCGGATGTCTGGGAATTGGGGGAAATGGGGGATTTAGG